TTTCACGATTTTCGGATGCCGTTTAGCAAAAGTCAGATCATTGAGAAATATTCTTGACTGCTATATGCTACGACAGGTACGACGTAAGCTGAGAAAATGAAAATATAACAAGATATTACTGTCAAGGGAGGCGAAGGTAGTGTTATGGCAGGTGACACGCTTAGCACGCAAGCAGTTGGGGGGGGATTTCAAATCCCGGTAGAGTCCCATCAAAGCCGATCCAGCTTCCACCCTCATGGGACGGTAAATGGGTATCAGATCCGTTTCGGAGGGTCGTCGTCGTGCACATCTTCTAGCCCCCGTAAGGCAGCGTTCAGACTTCAAGGCTGCAGCGCTTCGATCGCGCGTCTGACGCCATCGATGCAGTAGGAACCATGTATCAATCGCGCCGAACGCGCGACCGAAGCGCTGCCGTCGCGAAGTGTGAACGCTGCCTAACTCATTGTATAGGCCTTGTAGCATTCAAAATGATGCTATGATTCTGAAATGCGTTCCGCATCTCAAAGGCGCAGCCTGCGATCATCTGCTATCACAGATAGTGGATCAGGGATTTGCATGCTGACAAGAAGACTCTGAGTGACTATATGGTGAAGAAAAAAGCAGAAAAAAAGCCCTAGATCGAACCTCATGTCGATTCCAGTTTGTGCGTGCCCAATTACCTCCATCTCCAAAAGTTTTTCGTGACCACGCTGCCCTCCTGACGACATGTTTTCGTCGTCGCGGACCGTGCCTTTAAATTGCATTGATCAGTGACGGGAGCTTTATCCTTCCAGTCCTTATTAGTGTAGAGGATTGGCATGAAGTGGCCGAAATGGGGTAGGAGGAGGCGCCGTCCCCATGTGCATAGCCAGGCATTGGATCCCTCTCCGGTCATTTAAACCCACTAATCCCATGGAGTCATTTGATTATAGTGAGTCTAGTCTATGACATAGCAGCAGCCCGTTATCTCTTACCACTGAGTAACATGTAATTGAAATGATGATGGGTCGACAGTCACCATAAACACTAGGTTAAGGCATAAGTCCGTCGCGTTTTTATATTTTCTTTTTTTTGCTTTTTCTACTTCTTTTCTAGTGTGTAATATTCACTCGGAGGGGCTCTTTCTGGTCTACGAGAATGTGCAAATTGTTTCCTTTGGGTAATGTGTTTTCATTGATTTCTAAGTGGAATATCGCTACTTCTCCCTCGCTTTTCATTGAGGCCAAAAAGCTACTGCTGCAGGAGCTCGGGTATGCAAGGTCCGGAGAATACACCGTTGCTGAAGGACCTCCTACTCGAGCTCTTGGATTGAGGTTTGATGGCTTTTACATGGGCTCTGGCGTTATCATGAAAGATTATGGTTTAGCCCTGTGAGATCCGCCCATCCACATAAATAGCATATTTCGCGCTATGAACCTGGGCTATGGAGAGCTGCTTGTTGATAGCAGTAGCAGCAGGTGACATTCCCTTCGAGCACTACCCACTGCACCATGCCCTTCCAGTCTCACCAAAAGCAACTCATGAAATGCAGTTCAAATCGCCATTTTTTGGCTTTGCACTTTCCGTTCCGTTCCATACATCATGCCAATTTCCGGGCTGCTTTAGCTGTTTTTTTCACCCCGACGAAGGTGCGAAGAAGGCAGATGTTGAAAAAGCTGATTTTTGCCCCCTGGGTATGCCATTACTAAGCCTGAAAATGATTAAAAAGAATCAATATGTTCTGAAGAAAGAGTTGACGCAGTTTTATGAAGCGGAAAGGTACTTGTAACTGAAAAACAGTTTGTCAGATAGAAGCAAATTGCTCAAATAAAGTTCTTCGGGACCTGGTGAAATAACAAAAACTTCGATGTTGATAAAAGAAGCAGTAAATAAAAGAAACCAGTAGGCAAACAAACGACAAGGGAGGAAGTGGTAGGAATGAACAAATCTTATGACAACAGAAGCAGTTGGTAAGGATAGGGTAGTACCTTGGAGTTGAAATCAGTAGGAATAATGTAACCACAGGTGGCCACTCCTGGCCACTCCTCTAGTAGTGTTTGCATGAACTGCTATTGTTATTATAGTATTTTGTACATTGTTAACCAAAAACATCAAAATTATGCAAAGCCTGAAGGGCTATAAGAATAACTAGTTTGATATCAATATTAAACAGATAGGCTGACATGTATCACTTGTGTACGAATAAAATTATACGTTTTTTATTGACAAATAATTTTGAATGTTCATGACTCGCCATAATGAGGCTGAGGGGTGCCGTTCAAGACTTCGGCTGCATTGCCCTCAAGGTGCAGCACTTACGTCGATTTCAAGGTGTTGCACCGAAACACAGTGAGTTCTAGAAAGCACCTGAAGTGAGAGGAAGGCGAGGAGCGAGTTTGGCCATAGTAAGGAGTGTGGTTTTCCATGCGGTAGCGAGAGCGAAG